AAAAAAACAAAAAAAAAAAATAAGTTTTGTTGCTCTGACATAAATGCCTATAGTTATATCACGTAACTAATTAATTATAAATTTCAAGTCAGTGCAAAGAAAAAATTATCTCTAAAAAAGATTTTTAGGACAAGAAAACGACACGAAATTCTTGGGTAATAAAAATAAAACAAAAATCTCTACTTTTAACATTATTGCTAGAAATTAACAATAAACAATACACATTGTCAGGATAAGACAAAACAATAGTTACTGTTTGTATTTTTTGACAACGAAAGAAAAAACCCTGGGTTAAAAATTAAAATAAATCACACAATTTCCTTCGTTAGGGAAAAACTGAGGAGCAAAAAAAGAAAACAATCACAAAAATTAATCAAGAAAAACCAAGAGAGGAAAGTCGAATGTCCTGTGCTTTCAAAATTGTCACGCGACAAGGGGCCGGGGGGCGTTAAAAGGCTAGCGGGACACAAAAAGGTTGGCAGGGGGGTGGGCGATCCTACCTTGAAGAGTTGCACGCCAACGACGGCAAACACAAACTGCAGTAGTGTGGTGACGAGGACTATGTTTCCGATAGTCTTTATGGCTACGATGACGCATTGAACTACGTGCTAGAGCCGCCATAAACAATTTTATTGGCAAACTTTATTTTTCGAAATTTTTATTTTTCCTACACGTCTCTTTTTTCAATACCACACCTTCCAGAGACACAAATACGTGTACCTTGCAAAAATAATTACGTGTGTATAATTTTTTTTTTTTTGTTCTTTAATTTAGGGGAAAAAAAAAAAAAAAAACTAGCAACAACTTTACTTGTATCAACACTGGCAAAATACAGGCCTTGCGTATAAATGTATACGTATTTCAATAATACTGCTATACAAATTACCTTTTATTTTTATCTCAAATCATAGCGATCAAGTATTAATCTAAAGGGGGAATAATCAAATTCATTGATACAGTTTGTAGGAGAACAAGTGAGAATCAACGTACCTTCAATCCTTTGGCTCGGTTGATGGCACGCAGGGGCCTCAAGACCCTCAGCACTCGAAGGATCTTCACTACCGATATAGCCCCGGAGCTTCAAAACGAACGAAGCCAAGCGTAAAACATTTCTTTGTCGTTGGCACACTTTTTTTATTTAACATTATTTCTCACCTCAACTGCGTGGAAACTATGGACACGCAAACGACGAGGAGATCGAGGAGATTAAAGGACGATCTGCAAAACGCCCCGTCGTGCAAAATGAAGCCGTACGAGATGGTCTTCAAGCAGATCTCGATGGTGAAAACCGACGTGAAAAAGTAGTCAAAGTACGCCAAGATCTGTATTTACATCGTGAAAATAAAGCATCGATTTTTTCGTTCGATCACAACAAAAAAGAAAATTTACGACGAAAGTCACCTTGTTTCGCTGCGAGTGAGGGTCCAGCGGATCCTCGGCCGCCAGCATAGCCGAGGAGATCATGATGCACACGAGGATCACGTTACCGAAATGACTGTGATTAGCCACCCAATGGCAAAATATGCGAAACCTTCAATGGGGGGGGGGGGGGGGGAAAAAAAACAAAGGGAAAAAGAAAAAAAAAAAAAAAAAAAAAAAAAAAAAAAAAGATCGGCAGTCAGACCTGTTGTGCTGTTTGAAGATGAAAAAAGAGGTCCCCGGTGGTATGGGTACGATCTTGGTGCCGGTGTTGAACTCGGACATGCGCCTTGGCCTGGCGCTCACTTCGTTCTCGAGCTCGTCGTCCTGCATCTCGGTGTGCTCGTCCTCGTCCTCGGCCTCAAAGTCCTCCTCCTCCTCCTCCTCCTCCTCGGACTCGCCAACGTCGAGCCTGACTTTGCCGTGGGGCCCGTCCTCGCCCTTCTCCGAGCCGGCCGGCTCGTAGTCCTCCATCGCCTCGTTAGGGTCCTGCTCGAGGTCCGTGCCGCCCTCTTCGTCCTCGCCACCGGTCACGTCGCCCCCGTCGTCCTGCTCGCCGCTCAACTCCTGACCCGGCGAGCCGCTCCTCGACTTTTTTCCCGCCTGCATACGAGTGTTTCTTTTTTGTTTCATTTTTATCGTGGGTGAATTTACGATCAAAGTGCGCTTTACGGGGGATCGATGGTTTTTGCGCCCCGCGGTTACGACGCGTCGATTCAAACTTGGGTTTACTGTTGGGCTATTGCATACCTCGCGGTGTTGGAAACTGTGTCGGGGGGTCACCGGTTATTATATGAATACATGCGTGTCCATCCCTTTACATTGTCGGTTCAACCCAAGTGAAAATCGTTTTAGTGAATAAGGATACCGATCGTGAAATAAATTGATAAAGAGCGCAGATTTTAAACCAAGAATAATATCCGTTGTTAGTTATTTATTTTCTTTTCTTTTTCTTTTTTTTTTTGTCTCGAATGTCATCTCAGAAAATAAAAAGTAGCAGTAACTACTATGAATCATAACTAATTAAAACTTGAAGCTGATGCATAGAATATATTTTATTTGGTTTTTTTTATTAATATACAATTTTAGAATAAGTGATGAAAATTATTATTAATTATTTTTTAACACTTCATGAAAATTAATTATTTTCGTGATTAAATTACGCCATTTAATCATACTTTTTAACTCAGATTTTACAAAAAAAAAGAAAAATAACTGATAATAATTATGGAATAGCACGTAATAATAGATCAATGATAAATATTGTTTATTTATTTTTTACCCTTTGTTTTAAAAGTAATTTAAAAAAAAATTTTGCGATTATTTTTTCTCAGCAATAAACTCTATCATACCGTATAACAATATATCGTTAAAACATACCTCCTCCTCGGCTTCCTTTTCGATGGCAGTGAGGGACTCTGCGTCCGCGAGATTGTCAACGGCGATAGCCAAGAACACGTTCAACAGAATATCTATTCGCCATCGATTCAGGAAAAGTATACAGCTTTTCTCTCTTCCCTCGACAATTTAGGTATACACCCTCGAGTTTTTGGAAGCTTTTTTTTTTCGAGTAAAACAAAAAAAAAAAAAAAAAAAAAATTGAAAAAGTGTGTGTGCCCAAGTCACTCGTCCTGAGTCTAAAAAATTCGCTTCTACTCACTGGCACTCCTCGGCGGTCATTTTCGATCTGTCGTTGCACATGTAAAACTTGCCCTGTTGCACCAGGTCGCGAAAACAAAAATAGAAACGCATTATTCTCTAAAATAACGTGTACCGCACTCAAGTGATGGCAAAAAATTTTGAGCACACATTATTGTGTAAAGATAAGCTGCACAAAAAAAAAAACACGATGAGAAAACTCAAACTTGGAGGGTGAAAACATTAAAACAAAAAGCATGTAGTTGTACACGATTATGCACGTGAAAGCCAAGGCACTGAAGGCAATGTAAATAATTAAAAAAGAAGCGCACTTATGCTTGTGGTAAAAGAAATAGCGTGTACTTGGTGTTAAAATGTGTGATCGCAGTAGCGCAAAAGTGTGAACGAAATTCAAATTATAATAATAATAATAATAATAATAACAATAATAATACTAGAGAAAAACGTAAAAAAGTAAAAATCAAATATCATCAAAACCGTGCACTTTTTTTTTCCTTCTTCAATAATGCTGCAGTTTTGTTCTCGCTTTACGAATGCGCAACTCAACTGATGCAGTGTGCGTAGCTTCTTTTTCTCTTCTGGCTACTCTTGTCTCCCTTTTTTTTTTTTTTTTTTGAAAATTTTTTTCCATCGACTCATTCTCAAGTATAAAAAATATTTATTAAATCCTCTGACAAGGAGCCATGACAAGTAATTAAAAAAAGGGTCACACTATATGTTTTTATAAGATCTGTATGGAGTCATAGGATCAGGTTTGGTTGGCTTACGTCAGTGTGTGTGTGTGTGTGTGTGTGTCAAAAAAAAGGACTCACCAGAAACGAGCAGAGCACGTAGAAGGAGATGAAATAGGGGAAGGCCAAATCCGAGCCACAGCTCTCCGGCTGGGCCTCCGTTATGTTGGAGCCGGCCGGTGCCGGTGCGCAGGCTACCANGAAATATAAAAATTAAATTGACAGCTTGAATCTTCCATGCGTGCAATACTTTATTATTTTTTTTTTTTCAATTGACTGCAATGATCAGAAAATAATTTATCGATTTAAATGCATACGAAAACGCGCGCGTGCATAAGATAGTTAAATTTTTATTAATTGTTTCTTAGGCATGGCATCGACTCTTTTGTTATTAGGTGTACGATTAACATCCATGCAAACATAAATTCTATGTTGTCGATTTTACTTTATTGAGTTTTTTAACACATGTAAGATTAGATGCTAGTACAATTTTTTAGGTGTATTGCATTCATCAACTACTTTGTTGTATATTATTAGTAACTAATGTATACTCGCTATAGGATTGTAAAAAGTTTTTTTTTTCTAAAAATATATGTACTTAAACTAATTAAATTAGATGGATATATTCTCTAGAGTAAACGTGTAATGCACAAATATGTTTCTCGCTAAAGTTGATTTTCAATCTATTAAAGGTGTACACATGCACATCTATATGTATATGGTATTATTAAGTTGTCCATCATTAAATTGGAGTGATTTTCACATGCGACGAAGAACATTTCACATGCGTCTAGGAGAATCATTAATTCTATTGTTTTTTTTTTTGCTGTTTACACGTGTATATGTTACAAAAAAAAACACTATACTTGTGAAATATTTAATACATCATTAGTCAACAAAATTAATAGAAGAAGATAACAAGATACCGAAGAATTATAATCTAAAAGTGTTCACCGAAAAGTATGCAAACATGCGCAAGAGTTGTTGGATCATCGTCCTGAATTCAGATGTTTGGCTTGCTAAGTTTTTCGTTGCATCGTTTTCGAGATTTCGACAAACATCGATCCAAGCAAGTGTTAGTATACATGATTTGAGTGAATGAAACGAGTATCTTTTATTATTTATTTCCATCGTGAAAGTTATCGAGACATCGAGAGCAGTGAGTAAACATTTATATGTATAGTTTGACAACGACTAAACCGAGCAAGCACAGAAGAAGCGCGTATTCATCTTCTTCCCGGAGCAGTACAAATACGTAATATTTTACAATTGTATCGTATTGTTTATTTCGATAGAAAAATTTGATACATCGCTGATTTTTTGAAAAAATTTTCAATCGCGTAGTTTCTTGCAAAATTAAGCGAGTATCGAAACTATACAACGAATTAAATGAAACAGAGATAGAGAGAGATAGAGAAAGAAAGAAAGAATCAAGTTCCAGAAGAAGTGAAGTAAGTAAGTATATTAAATATGTACAAATAGAAAATATATTTATAGAAACGCAATAACAGATAGACAAAAGATTCGTTCATCTAATATGTTAGCAGATTGATGACGCTTATTGTTTACCTTGAAGAGCTGGACGCCAATAACGGCGAACATGAACTGTAGGAGATAGGTGACCAACATAATGTTGCCGATCGTTTTAATGGCGACAATCACGCACTTGACTACGTACTATTTTTTTTTTTTTTTTTTTGCCCGACTCGATTTGTCCCGCTATACATTTTTTCCCCGATCTACATTTTCATCGTTACTACGTACTTTTTTTTTTTTTTTTTTTAAATTTCGGTGTTGAAACTTCGGTAGCTATGGTAAAATGGTAAAGTCGGCGAATTGTCGTTTCAGAAAGGAAAATCTCGACGGCCAACTCGACGAGGGCGGACAGTGAGAAGGACGCCAAGCCAACGATCAATGGATTCAGGCAAGTAGGCCGAGCCGATCGGGTGTGAAATAGAGGACGCGTTTATACAACGATCGGTCGATCACCGAAATTAGAAATTCATGATTGATTGCGAGCATTGTGTCGTACTCTGGGAAGGTTAACTTATTGTTTTTTTTTTTTTTTTGTAGTATCTTTCTTGAGTTGAAAATAAATAAATCGAGAAAAAGTTTCACCTNACCCCCCCCCCCGTCGTACATAGCTCCTCTAATAATTAAATGCGGCCAGGGGGGTAAGGTATACGTATGTATATATCTGCTCATTGACACGTAAAAGGCGAATTGTCATGCAACGACGTCTCCGAAGTCTCTCTCGTGTACCCTCGACATGTTTATTTTAGAAAAAGCCGTCTCTGGTGCGGATGCAGCAGCAGCTGGTCGCGCTATCATTGTTGCCGCCGGAAATCGCGGGAAAAATCGTTGGCTCACGCTGCACGGCTACAATATAATATATATATACAAACTCACTCGCGTCGACTATCTTTTGGTGTATCTTACCGCATGCACACCCATGGGTAAGCTGTGCAGGTCTCCCTCCCCCCTCTTATTTTTTAGCCGTACCGAGACCGTACAGTTACCCCGGCATGGGTATTGTATACCCATGTATTTGACAAAAAAAAAAAGGCAGGATATCCCCGGGGGCTGGGTGGCTATTAATATTTTTTCAGTCACACCCCTGTTTTGCATAGGCACGAGTGAGAGGAGAAGATCCTTGCAAGTGTGTATATACAATCGTATATAACCAACCCTTGCCGTACGGACCCTGGTTGTGGCCGAAAAAAAAGGGCAGTCTTTGCTGAGAGACCTGCACGGCCATACTGTAGGAAAAAAAAAAAAAAAAAAAAAATGGTACAACCTGTAGCAGAAATACAAAAAATTGATATTCTTTGTGTTGTTTTTTAATAATGGCATCATGTCCAAACACCATGTGTCACAGACGTAAGCATTTATCGACCTTAACCATACAAAAAGCTTGAGCTTGAACCAATTCGTGGGAGACCGTCACTGTACCAACTAAACTAACCAGTGACATATATGTAACTGCCGCTTTTTGGCAAGTGTACTTACAACTCTTACATTATTATTCCAAAATTTTATTAATGCATCTATATTTATGAAAAAAAAACATAAATAATACATGTATGTATTTTAGACTCCTAATAAACTACAAATGAATAATGATCATAGTTGTTACAAATAAATTATGCATCAACGATAAACTGCACGCCCTGAAAGATATTACGTTGTATTTAAAATTAATTGTAACTATACCTTGCATATACTGTATTTACAAGATAAACAACGCGTTTCTTATATACGTACACGCGTACGATGTATATTATAAGCTAGCCTTTTTTTTATCAAACTTGCATGTAAGTACAACCCTATGTAAGTATTATTACCTCATGATTTTTCTCTCAGAATAAGTGATCCCAACATGCGTCACAAAGCCGTAAAATTGACACTCCAAAATATATGATGTGTATTCGGTGGACGTAAAATTTCCGCATAAGTTGAAGAAAAAATAAAAATACACCCCCGAGTCCCCCGCCCAGGGGTACTATACGACAGAGATACGAAGACGCGCTCCCTCTGATTACTCTAATGGAAAAGAGGAGTCGCCGGAGAAGGAGGAAGAAAAAGCCAAGCGCCCGATCAATCGAGACTTTTATTTGCGTCCTTTCCCCCAAGCCTCGTCTCATTTACTTGTACACGCGTATATACAGCACTTTTTATCTCGATCGGTATACGTTTTTTTTCCTCGATACACGAGAAGACACCGTCGATTTCGGCGTGTGTACCCAACAACCGTGAAAAAGTCGACTTTTCGTTCGCGTAACATTTTTCACCTTCATAAATAAACAGTGAAGCAAAAAAATTCAATCACCGAAGAATTTAAAATCAAACAGGTAAAAAACACATATCGGTATCGGTATGTGTACATTTGGCGTACGAGCGACGTTTGCCCGTTCCATTGAATACCCGTCGATAAAATAAACGACCCGAAGTAAAACGCACCGATTCGCGTTGGACCCGATCCAGCCGTCCCTATTGCACTTTTAAACTCCCTCCTCCTCCTAATCGATTATAAATTACGAATCGAACCCACCCTACAGTATACACGTGTATACATAGATTCTACGAGTGATCGATTGGCAATAGCGGCAGATTGACGCGTAATTTCTCGAAAAGTGCCAAGGAGAGAGAGAGAGCAGCAGAAGCACATAAAGGGCGGAGTTTCTTTTTGAAGAGCGCGCCGTCTTGAGAGAGCGATTGTTGCCGGGAAGTGGCCCGCGCTCGGGGCACCGATGCAAAAGTAAAGTTTAAAAAAAAAAAGGGGGGATCAGCGCTCTCTTTTATTATTAACCACTCGTCTGGAGGGGAAAAGCGCGGATTTGCGTATAGACGGTGGGTTGTGTTGTTGTTGTTTCCCCCCCCCCCCCCCCCCCCCCAATATATTTCTAGCGGGGGCGGGGGGGGGGGCCTGGGAAAAAAAAAAAAAAAAAAAAAGGATACAATTACCGCAGATGAACAGTATAATGTAGTAGATGCAGGCCAACACGCCGGTGCTCGCCACACCACCGTAAGCCCTGATCCCCGTGTACATCACCACGTTCCAATCCTCACCAGTTAAAATCTGTCAAATCGATACGTCATTTTGTTCAACCATCCAATCACATTACCGATTGACCACACACAAGTAAAAGTAACGATCGATCTATGTGTATACCTGAAATACGGTGAGCAAACTCTGCCAGAAACTGTCAAAGTTGTACCTCGGCTTGTCCTCCTCGGCGCTGAAATTGAACTTTCCCCCGAATACCTACCAAACAGTAAAAAAATAAACCATCATCTCTCACACACACACACACACACACACATGTGAAAAAAGTATAGTATAGATGCGACACGAAGACACACACGTACCTGCATGCCGAGCAGGGCAAAGATGACGATGAAGAGGAACAAGAGAAGCAAGAGCGAGGCGATCGACTGTATCGAGTTGAGTAAGGAGGCCACGAGATTCGATAAGGATCGCCAGTACCTACACGTGTACAACAAGCGACACTATGTATTAGACACCTCTCCCTACGTTATACACACTAGAGCTTTTTTTTTTTTTTTTTTTTCCGTACAACCCTCTCAAAGGAAAATTATTCGTGCCACGCTGGCTATATAATTATCGAACCATTTCCACCAACAATATGTACATATATAAGGCGTCGACAGCTTTGTACACACTAAGCCTCTTCTATTGTATGGATAACAAAACGTATACATGTATGTATATATCTTACTTGGTGACTTTGAAGACTCGGAGTAGCCTGACGCATCGGAGGACGGACACCCCCAGGGGTGGCATGAGGTTCGAGTTGGTGAGTATCGTCTCGGAGATCGAGCCAATCACGACGAAACAGTCGAAACGATTGAACAACGACACAAAGTAGCCCTGAGTAAGGTTGTTAATCGTTACTTTTTTTCGCCTCCCCCCCCTTTTTTTTTTTTTTTTTTTTTTTTTTTTTTTTTTTGTTTTTTTTTTAACGAGGCGCATTGGTTTTTGGAATTGTTTTTTTTATTGTTCGATTTTTGGTTTTGTTTGGCGGAACACACAGGCGAAGGTGAAGGCGAGCGAGCACACACAGGAGCAGGTTTGTAAAAAAAAACAAATACAAAGAAATATATTGACATTATTATTCGAGGAGTTAACAACCTTAGGTATGGGGGGGGGGGATATCTATTTTTATTAATATGAACGTGCATGTATATTGTACATTTTTTTTTTATCTTCTATCGGTGAGCCAGTATTTGCCTTAAAAAATACGTTTTGTTTTTGTAATCATATAATTTTGCAGAATCGAAATAAAACAAATATTACTAATTGTAATGATTTGTCATGTATATCAATTTACAAGGGATCTATGAACTAATCTAATTCTTTTCTTCATTTATTATACTAAGTTATTACCAAGACACTTTATGAATTAATAATTTTTAATGTTGTGCACGTATAATGATAATCAATACTCACTACGATTCCACCAATTTCATTGAATTAAAATGATATTTTAAAACGTCATCGTCGCCGAGAAAATTTGACAACAGATTTTTATTTCTAAATATTGATTTTACTTTCTATTTCAAAAGTACTGCTGTAAAAATGTCGTTTTCCTCTTAAGAACTTCATAAAACATTATTTTTGCACCAGTTGGGGTTAAATATACGTTGAAAGTAATTTGGTGATTTACTGATTTGCTATTTAGCGCCGCCATGTAAGCAACCGTCAAATATTAAAAAAAAAACATAAAAATCCTTTCAGTATAATATAATTGTACTTCTTTTTAGTGTTAGTGTACTTTAAATTTTAACGAATAAAAATCCATAACCATATTTTTTAAATTTAATTAGTATAGTCTAAAATTATTTTTTACACGATTCAATCCTTGACATGAACGATTTTTTGAAAATATAAATGTACATGTAGAACTATGAATGTAATGAATTTATCTATGTGTGTAGGTATCTATATATAAGTGTAATATAAATGTACAAATAAATGTAAGTTCTAGGAAATGTAACTTTCTAAGACATAAATTATTCAATCGATCTAAGTAAAACACACTGAAATATTTAAAATATATTGCCATGGCCTTTTCATGATGTATACAATTTATGTATGATTATACGGTTGTATGTACAGATAAATTATCGAAGGGAGATAAGATGAAAATATAATATATTAAGGGGTCTTTGAATTTCGTTTCGCACTTTTCTCCCGTTTAATATCACTACTTTTAACTATGTACCTCAAGAAAAGAGAGAAACTTTGGATGGTTAAAAGTTTTCAAAACTTTGTTAGTCAGCACACAACCCCAATACATGCACAAGTCTAAATTTAACTTATAACTCGCACTTTTTTTCAATTTTATTTTACTTTTTTTTTTCCAAATTGTCTATACGTTTTTGTCTTTTCAAAATGCAAGTAAGCAATTGTGTTCTAAATTTTTGTTTACTAATATACATTACTAACTCGCTATGAAATTATACAAATAAAATATAGTAGTAATGGTGAAATAATAATAATTAAAACATATATGATTGATTTGTGATGTATTTCTGTGAAAAAAAATTTTTTTTGCATAAAGCCACATAAGCATCTATACATTTGTATAACGATCAATACTTCTGAAATGATCGATTACATAAACTGAGGACAATTAATAGTAAAAATCTATTTTGCATCATAAAAAAATTAAATTTGTTCAGTTGTTAAATTAATAATGATACAGACATCAATTAAATTTGATCTTGTATAACAGACTTCTTTGATCGTTTTGTAGGAAATTAATAAATTTAATAAAAATAGAAATATTGGTAATGTAAATATAAATCATTTTATCCGTAAAAGTGCGTTAAAAAATATGTATTCATTAAAAAAGAGTAACAATGTAAGTTTGTTGGAAGTGTTATAAAATTTGTATAAAAAAAAAAAAAAAACAAATATGAAAAGAGAAACGTAATTTGAGGAAAAAATGAAGGATAACAGAAAATAGAAAAAAATCTGTTTCAATCGTGGAATTTTTGACTATGGGCAAAACAAAAGACAAAGAAAAAAAAATGAGGTACAGGTAAATCCAACAGCTACACTGATTGTTGGATCACAGAAAACAGTGGTACACGCCACCCTCGCTTTTTTATCATTTGCTTTGTATGCATTTTTTTTTATTACTCAATTGATAACAAAAGTTTTATAAAAAATTCTTAAAAAATAAAAAAAAAAAANAACCGATTCTCTTTGCTAAAAAAGTACTTTATGTACGTTATCAATGTTTCGAACTGGGTCGACATAAAGTGCGGTTATACGTCAATTGCATCAATCACTCGCTTGTTACAACTTGGAAATGACAATATCACGCAATAAAAGTAACACAATCGCACGCTAAGCTCTCAATTATAATATTTATAATGTATCTTACTTGTATATTACTACAAACTCTTGGTTATATGAAACAAGTCGACTTCCGGACTGGCCTCTCACGATCTTTGCCACGTTGCTTTCCTCGACTTTCAGTATGGCCAGAACTTTTCCCTGTGGTATAATCCTGGTCACGACGAAGGCAGCTCCGATGTCGCCGATAGAACTGATCACACAACTAGCCACGACATTAAAGTGGGAACTGAGCTAATCACTTAGATAACGAAGCAGCCGCTTGGTTGGGGATGTAGTGACGGTGTACTAACGTCGAAAGCCAGATTTTTTCATAGCCAGCTTTGGCTGTCCGGACTGAGGTAATTAGTTATAGGCGTATGGAAGGAGAAACGTAGCACGAAAACTGCCTCCCTCCACATCGGCTATGATAAGTAGGTATATTACATGCGCATTGTATGACTGTATTGGTGCTCGGGGCTACATTATTGGTTTTTAAGTGCTTGTGACTTTTTAAATTTCATTTGAAAGTTTCATCATTACAAATTCCTCGTGCAATGTAACGAAATAGATGGCTTTGATTTTCTTGAGCCACTGATCGAATCCTTCGGTAGAAAGGATCGGTTATACGTAGTATGCATGTATTTATATGTATAAACAATTTATTGTGTGTAAAACTTGTGCACGTCTTTGTCGATGCGGAAACAATAAAATCCTTGAAAATGTTTTATTAAGTCACGAATTCAAAAATCCACTCTACTGGCCTCTCAAATTTGTCTAAGGATATTTTTATTTTCTGACAAAAGATTTGTTTAATTATGAAAAAATCAAACACATCGATTTCGGTAATTTTACTTTGACTGTTGTTTGAAAAATTCAATTTGTGTACAGAGAAATAAGTTAAAATTCACCTATGCAACGTTTACCTTACAATTAAAATATAGAGAGTTGATTACATTTATTTTTCCATTTAACGAAAGTCATATTACATTCAATACAAGAAACCTCTTACGTCGGATAGCATTATTTTTACCTATTTGTAAGTGAAGTATTAAATTACAACTTTTAAAATTGTATGTATTCCTCAAAAAATGTAAAGGTAATTGCGAAATCATGTTCATTAGCCAGTCAAGTTACTTCGACGTTGTCTTACAACATGAACATACTTACTCAATCACAGCAATTTTTCTTTATCTTAGAAAAAAAAAAAAAAAAAAAACTCACCTGAAAGCCCAAACTGTACATCTTGAGCATCATCTCCATAGAAAAGAGCACGATGAAGAACATGTTTGTCACTTCTGCAATATGCAACGACCCATTAATCCCATAATTAAAAGAATGAAAGTATAAGGGTGGTGGGGTCAAACCTTGAAACTTGTCCAGCCACTCGGGTTGCTGGTAGTGCTCGGTCGCCAAAACCCCGGTATTCAAAAACACTAAGACTATGATGAGCCAGTAAAAAACCTGCGACTTGACGGCTTTCCTGCAAGCTCGTCTCATCCGACGATTCGCCCTTGCGAACAAAAGCATACCACATATTATTACAATAAGGGTACCGGTGAAGGGGAAAAGAGCAAATTCTCACCTGTCGAACTCCTTTTTCCTCCTCTGCCACGCCGTCACCTGCTGCACGCCCTCCTCGCCCTCCAGTCTGTCGGTGCTCTCCATCTCCCCTTGTTGCTTCGCTGAACCACAAAACGGACAAACATCAAAAATTTACTTTGTTTCGAGTCAATAAATATAACGAGGGATTTTTTGGGCGTCACTTGCCATCTTGTATCTGTGGCTCGTCCGCCTCGGGCTCTATGTCCTCGGCCTGGGTGATCCAGTCCAGGTAGCCCTTCAGATCGTCCTCGATCTGCTGCTTCTCCCGCAGCTTGTGAAAGTCCCCCCTAGCCTTGGCCTTCTCCCTCTCCTTGGAGAACTCTCTGCGACACCGTTGCGCAACTTAGTTTCTTTCTTTCAACACCCGCGAACACAACTTACCCGGACAGGACACCGAGAATGAGGTTCATGACGAAGAACGCGCCGAGGATGACCAGCGATATGAAGTAGACCCACTGCCAGGTGCTGCCCATCGCGTCCTCTATCTGCACAACTCGTTGTCGCGTCATGTCGTGTATTATTTTGGTATGGAAAAGCCAATTGAAAAAAAAAAAAAGAGGCAACTCACGGAGTACAAAACATCGGTCCATCCCTCGAGGGTGACGCATTGGAAGACGGTCAGCATGGCCAGGCCGAAGTTGTCAAAGTTGGTGATGCCCCAATTGGGCCCGTCCCAGTAGCGCTTGGTGTCGCATATCCAGTCGTCACCGATGGTCTTGCAATTGAAACCGGCTATGCCGCACGGGTGCGCGTCCTCCATTATCTCACCGGTTATGTTGTTCCAGCAGGTGGAGTGGAGTTTCCCGGAGAACAGCTCGAGACCGATTATCGCGTATATGATGATCACGAAGATTACCAGCAGGGCTATGTGCAACAGGGGCACCATTGCCCGTAGGATCGAGTTCAGGACGACTTGCAGACCTGGAGGAATAAGATTGGAGATTTTGGTAGACGCGGGTGTCGGTGGGGAGTTGTACGTGGGTGGGTGTATTTTGAATATGTATACTTGGTACTCCGGAGACGAGCCTCAGAGGCCGGAGCACGCGAAAGGCGCGCAGGGCCTTCACGTCGAAGCCTTCCTTCATGAACCATTGCAACACGGTGCTGATCGCCCTGTTGGATCAACCGAGATTTTTTTTTTTTCATCGAGATATGGGGTCGGGTGGGTTGAAAGAAATTTCGGGGGCTGGACAAAGGGGTTACCCGATCACGACGATGGTGAAGTCGAGGAGATTCCAGCCGTTCCGCAGATAGGCGCCCTGGTGCATGCAGAAGCCGTAGGCGATGATCTTCATTATGCACTCGGATGTGAAGACGACGAGGAAGAAGTATTCGATTTTTTCCTGACAGAATCGAGGTGAGATTGGTTTTTTTTTTTTTTTTTTTTTTAACATTTACAAGAAAATGTAACTAGTTTGGAGAAAAAAAACTTACCAGAGCTAAATTCGTAGCGTTGGAGTCAGCGAAGGGGTAAGGCGTGTAGACGGCCAGGGCGACGCAATTGGCCAATATTGTGAACAGGATAAGCCACTCGAAGGGCCTTGACGCGAATTTCAGTTAAGGAAAACTATTCACATGTAAATGTATACATACTTACAATTAACATGATTGATTTTGAAGATACAATTTTTTTTTTCGAGAAATATTACTTAAGTGGGTACCATTTTTGCTAGACATTTCATTTTTATTACTACTCAACAAACTACTTTGTATTTACTTTTATCGTATTTTTTTTATCCCTAGACAACACTTTGGTAATTTTTACGAGTACCCTCTATCACCTGTGTGTGAAGGATAATGATGATTAATCTCAGCTAATAACCTTCTTCGTCTCATCTCCCAGTATCCAACCAACCCATGACCCCTCACCCAAAACAAACCCACGCCTTTTAATATGTTAACAAATAAACATGTTGCATTATTTTGATCGGAAAAGTATATTTGACCATTGAATAGCGAGTGAAGCGATGAACAACCAAAAATAAATGGCCCTAAAAGAGAAGAAAAGGATACTTCCACTCGACGATGTCGATGCAGAGTTTGCGCAGGGGGTTCTTGAGCCCGAGGCACCATAGTGCCCTGACGGGTCTGTCCGGCTGTGTCTTCCCGGGTCTCCTGACCGGCTTTTTGGCAGCCCCGGCCGCCGGTGCCCCAGGCTTGCCCCCAGGAAGCGCGGTAGCCGTTGTACTGGGCGGTCCGCCACCACCACCGGCAGTGGCAGCGCCATTCTGGTGGGGCCCCGCGGGCGGGCTGAGGGTGTTGTTGGCGTCCGCCTGACCGCGGGCCTCCCCGAGCCCCTTGCCATCGCCGGCGCTCATCGGCCGGCCTGCTACGGCTCTAAGCTACCGCCTCCAGCCTCCCTCCTCCCCCTCCTCTTCTTCTTCACCTTCCTGCGCCTCCGGCACCAACTGGTACTGCCCCCGCCACCGCCGCCGGCCCCCCTTTCCGCCGCCTCCGCCTCGGCCTCCGTCGCAGCAGGCTCAAACTGCCCGGGTGATTTACGGCGACGGCGATGGTGGCGATGAGGCCAAGGACTTGCTGCCACGACCCCGTACTACGCTCGCCTCTACCACCTGGACCACTGCTGTCACCAATTTTTTCGGCCAGTGTCGCCGCCGTCGTCGTTTTTGCGAACTACCTGGGCCGGTGCAGTGGCGGCGGGACGGCTGCCGCTGCCACGGGTCGCGTACCTGCTGACCGTCCACATGCTACGGGCGCTGGGGACGTGGGACCGCGGCATTACCTGATGCCGTGCCGAATCCGCGACTCGTTAACCTGGCGCTGCAATCGGACAACCAATTCAGCTTTATTCATATTGTTTGTACATTTTTTTTTTTTTTTTTTTTTTTTTTTTTTTAATTGATAAATAACCCCGGTCCATTGAGATGCTTTTGTTATTGTTGTTCCGAAATACATGTCACAAGAGAAAACATATGGAATTGTGGTGTTTAATAATAATTATTATAGCTACAACGGTTAATGATTTTAACAGATGAAGAATTCGCTCTTTTTATCATGTTACTTTAGAAATGAATGGTTATTATTAGAAGTATCTTATATGGAATCATGATCTTTAAAAATTATAATTACATTAACAACAAATAATGGATTTTAGAGAAAAAAAAAAAAAAAAAAAAAACTAATACGTCAAGAATTCGCTCTTTATCGACTGGTCCCTAAAACATTTCCATTAGTTCTCCAAGTTATCTACTTACGTTTAAGAACAAATAGCGCAAATGTATTATTTTATAATCCAACATCCCCCGTGAGCCCAAGGCAACTTAAATCTCACGTAAAAATAAATGGACGACATCATTGACTCGATGAATATAAGAAAAGACACGCAGTAAAAACAAATGTTCTCCCATTCAAGCGCAACACAATAGAAAAGAGGGTAGGACGAGTTTGATAAACGACCCGCAGGGTAGCCTTTCTAATTAGCCAAATCAACCGGAATTAAGGATCTCATAAACGTGACGAGACGCTTTGGCCATTACGCAACCGAGGACACGATTTACACCGATAAAAGTGCTCTTGGCGTAAGCTAAAAACAAATGCGAGTTGATGAACAAATCAACGTATACATTACATTTGTCGAGCAAGTGGAGGATGTTGTGCTTTCGTGTCGTATATGTATACGCTTATATACTGTGATGAAAAAAAAAAAAAAAAAAAGAATCCTTCACACGACCCGGTGCGACACGAATCGATTGATTCCGTGAAAAGAGAATTGACAACATATATTATGTATTCGGTGTACACGTGAATAAATACATTCCGAGGGAGGCTAACTCAAGAGGGTGGAGAATGAGGGCGAAGGTGTCCCCCCTCCCCTTCTGTGTGTATGACGTATATTCCTTTTTCCTTAGCTCTCGAGGGTATAAGAATAAGTACTCGAGCGCCGTGAGATGAGGAGAAACGATTTGTCTCGCGAGTGGCACTCGACGACGCCGGGGTGTGGGTGCTACGATACTACAGAGCCAACGCTCGCTTATTTTCCTTTCTTCGTACACATGTACACGGCGAAATTGAATAATTGCCGTCGAGTGCTCGATTGGGCGATCGCGAGGGAGAAAGAGGGAACTGAAAATCCGCCGACAGGCAAAAATATTAAAAGCGCGCCCGAATCAGCGAGAGTCAATAGGCTTTTGTTTGCCCGAGATGTGGCTTTGCGGGAGAGATATGACTGTGACAGGCGAGTTTCGGGTGTATTCGACATGAAAAGAAAACGGAACTTTCCTCGCTTTTCTTTAGTCGCGACAAAATAAAAATGAACAAATCGGTGGTTATACCATCGTGGATTTCTTATCTTAAATTTTGGTTGATAATTAATTGGAAAAGTTAACTTCGTACGCGGCTAATGCATACTGTGTAGCTTGTAATTTGATTGTTGTAATGATCATCAAAAAACGTCTTAGTTTGAGTTACTTGTCATGACGAGTTTAATTGCAGCTTGAACGTTTGCCAGGTTTGAAGTGTCATATGATATATCGTGTAAAAATTCGCAATTGGTATATTTTATACGTATGTCCCACTTCTGGTGGAAGAAGAAATACTGCATACCAAACGCAATTATTTATGAGATATAACTTCGAAGCGTGGTAATCGAAATTTCGATTAAACAAACATTGACCATTTTTTTTTTTTTAGTAGTCACTTACATTTAACATTAGGCACTTTTATTTTTGTCCAACTACACCTTGACCCTTAGTTATAGTCCCACTTTTTTTTTTCCTTTCATAAAAATCGCGAAAAAACTGTCGTCATCTTCGATGTACGTGATCCGATTTTTGGATGATATACTTGTAAAGTGTAAATATTTGCAATTTAAAAGAAAATATTCAGTCCTGCAAAACAAATGGCTTTTTTCTTCACTTTTTTCCTTTTTACGCGTGAAAAATATAAAATAAAAATAAATAACGCAACGATATCCCAACAGCCTCACATTTTCGAGGATACCAAACTTTAATGGTTCACCTTTTCCACGTGAAAACAGCACCTTGTACGCGATAAAACAAAAGCCAAATAAGGGAAAAGAAAAGAGAGGGTCTCGCCAGAACGCAATTTGTCTAACAAATGTAGCCCAGGCAATCCAAAAATCGAGTGCGTATCGGTATAGGAGAAGCTCAAATAAATGCCTCGAATGAAAAAAAAAAAAAAAAAAAAATGGTACAACCTGTAGCAGAAATACAAAAAATTGATATTCTTTGTGTTGTTTTTTAATAATGGCATCATGTCCAAACACCATGTGTCACAGACGTAAGCATTTATCGACCTTAACCATACAAAAAGCTTGAGCTTGAACCAATTCGTGGGAGACCGTCACTGTACCAACTAAACTAACCAGTGACATATATGTAACTGCCGCTTTTTGGCAAGTGTACTTACAACTCTTACATTATTATTCCAAAATTTTATTAATGCATCTATATTTATGAAAAAAAAACATAAATAATACATGTATGTATTTTAGACTCCTAATAAACTACAAATGAATAATGATCATAGTTGTTACAAATAAATTATGCATCAACGATAAACTGCACGCCCTGAAAGATATTACGTTGTATTTAAAATTAATTGTAACTATACCTTGCATATACTGTATTTACAAGATAAACAACGCGTTTCTTATATACGTACACGCGTACGATGTATATTATAAGCTAGCCTTTTTTTTATCAAACTTGCATGTAAGTACAACCCTATGTAAGTATTATTACCTCATGATTTTTCTCTCAGAATAAGTGATCCCAACATGCGTCACAAAGCCGTAAAATTGACACTCCAAAATATATGATGTGTATTCGGTGGACGTAAAATTTCCGCATAAGTTGAAGAAAAAATAAAAATACACCCCCGAGTCCCCCGCCCAGGGGTACTATACGACAGAGATACGAAGACGCGCTCCCTCTGATTACTCTAATGGAAAAGAGGAGTCGCCGGAGAAGGAGGAAGAAAAAGCCAAGCGCCCGATCAATCGAGACTTTTATTTGCGTCCTTTCCCCCAAGCCTCGTCTCATTTACTTGTACACGCGTATATACAGCACTTTTTATCTCGATCGGTATACGTTTTTTTTCCTCGATACACGAGAAGACACCGTCGATTTCGGCGTGTGTACCCAACAACCGTGAAAAAGTCGACTTTTCGTTCGCGTAACATTTTTCACCTTCATAAATAAACAGTGAAGCAAAAAAATTCAATCACCGAAGAATTTAAAATCAAACAGGTAAAAAACACATATCGGTATCGGTATGTGTACATTTGGCGTACGAGCGACGTTTGCCCGTTCCATTGAATACCCGTCGATAAAATAAACGACCCGAAGTAAAACGCACCGATTCGCGTTGGACCCGATCCAGCCGTCCCTATTGCACTTTTAAACTCCCTCCTCCTCCTAATCGATTATAAATTACGAATCGAACCCACCCTACAGTATACACGTGTATACATAGATTCTACGAGTGATCGATTGGCAATAGCGGCAGATTGACGCGTAATTTCTCGAAAAGCCACAAGCTGAGAAAATGAAAAAAAAAAAAAAAAAAAAAAAAAGTGCCAAGGAGAGAGAGAGAGCAGCAGAAGCACATAAAGGGCGGAGTTTCTTTTTGAAGAGCGCGCCGTCTTGAGAGAGCGATTGTTGCCGGGAAGTGGCCCGCGCTCGGGGCACCGATGCAAAAGTAAAGTTTAAAAAAAAAAAGGGGGGATCAGCGCTCTCTTTTATTATTAACCACTCGTCTGGAGGGGAAAAGCGCGGATTTGCGTATAGACGGTGGGTTGTGTTGTTGTTGTTTCCCCCCCCCCCCCCGTCACAATATTCGTGACGCGCTGCAGCGTGAGCTTTGCAAGGAAAAAAAAAAAATCAAAAACAAAGAAGCGTCAGGAAAAGAGAGACAGGTGTGTCACACGATGACCTAGTTTTAGTTTACAGCTTGCACTATACACACGTAAACATGTATATATATATATATATATATGTATGCATAAGTACACCGCTTCAGAGGGATGGAGGAGACGGAAGGAGCGCGATATCGCGTTTGTTCTTTCTTTTCATCTTTGCCGGTCCCTCCGAGTATGGGTTGATCAACGGAATGTAATACATTACATGAGTGAAATATTTTATCATGATGCGAGCCGCTCTTTGATTTTCATCAAAAGTGGTTTTGCATTGTTACGCCGAGCATCGGTTACTTCACTGTGGGAATGCAACAATTAAATTTCCAGCCTTTTTTAGGACTATATGTGTACACGGGTTGCTTTTTTTTTTTTTTTTTTTTAATTAAAATCATGACTCTTGGGACGAAAGCGCTGCCGCAC